TTTACGGCTCCAGTACGTATCTAATCCCCACCCGCTGGTGTAACCCATCTTCACAATAGTCAGATCAGACCAAAAATAGAGCATGTCTCCCATATCTGTTCTGTAGCTCAAATCTCCACACATCCCTCTCTTGATAGTTCAAAAGCGTCTACCCGGCCTTGTGTGTGAATTACTTTCTACCCTAAAAAACTTCTTCTACAGACGATTCATCGCAAGCTCCACGATAATCTATCGATACTTTTAATGGCAAATTTTCTGAATAGCTATATTCCTTGTTCCACCGGCTTAGATATTTACAGGTGGAACACGCCCTGCCCCATACACAAGGATGAATCATTCCCCTTCCCTTTGTATTCCATTAGCAAGGAATAATTTCTACTCAAACATTTTATTCCTAAGAACTGCTGCTTAGTGCAACAGACCTCCGCCATGATGTTTCCCACATTGTTACAATCTTGACTTCTTCACGTTAGGGTTAACTATTAACTCTCTGTTATGGTAATTTATCTACGCACGCATGGACTCTCCCAGCTATGAATAGGAGCAGGTACTGCCTTTTGGAGAAGGAAGTTTCCAGCAGTCAGCTCTGACAGTCGGACCGAACATTCTTGCTGTAACACTCTCGTTTGTATCCCTGTTTCTCTTAATATATTTGTTTTATTCAGTTCCTTTATTTGTGTCTTTATTTCTGGCCCTAACAAGGCAACAATATTGTCCTACATAATTTCCTCGTTAAGCCGCAATTCTTGCCTTTTATTACGCTCATACAGTAACCCACATCATTATTGCTCTTGGGCCTTATCTCAGGTGAACATGAGTATTAAAAAAAACAATGCAGTATAGTTAAAACAATAGAATGATAGAAGACTGAATGAAATCAATGAGGTTGTGGATTTAGAGTTATCGCAAGCTAAATAATTTAAATTGGAATTAAAATCCTAAATTCACAGAAACTCACCAGATACGCTTGTAACAGAAATGAATCAAGCAGGGTTTAGTTGAGATATTTAATTTTGGATTCTGTTTTCTTTTTCTTTTTTTATATTTCATGAGTTTATACATTTGGTGGACCAATAGCTGCATCTACTCCAAGTGAATTTGGGTGAGTGCGTCGTATCGGAAAAAAAATTCTTTTCAGAATCTATGTGCAATGACAACTGCTCGCCTATCTGGTCTAGTGTTCCAGCTTTACCATCCCTAGGTTCTAGACAAGATCCAAAGAAGGATCTGCAATGTAATCGATCCTGATTGGTATCTTGACTTTAGTTACTTTCTCCCCGACGGGACATGGCTTCACTTTGTCTTTTCTATAAGTATGTTCATGGCAACTGCTCTGGCAGCCTCTTTTTTTTCTCCTGCTCCGAATACGTGAATTTATTCGTCCTACTAGATTGGCATCTAGGTTTAACCAATTTAAAATAATTAAATGCAACCGCTACTTATTCTCCAACATTTCCTTTACTCGCACTTTCCACCTGTTGGCCACTCTTCCATTCCCTCGCGTTCTAGATAACTGTAATCTTCAAACATTTAAATGCAACATCAATCGCCATCTTCTGATTTCTTGAATCTAGTTCATCTTTTGTTCTTTCCTCAATCCTCTTTCACTTTCACACCCTCTACCCCCCTGTACACTAGTAGCATTTCAACCTTGCTCAAGGTGTGTTGTGGGGCTCTCCGCTTTTTACATTAGATGGACTCGCCCAAAGTATACTTATACTGACAGAGAGAATACCTGCCGTTGAGATACGTGGAGATACGTTGAGACATACGGAGACAGACACAGGATGTTCTCAGAGAGAGAGAGAGAGAGAGAGATTACGAGAGAGAGAGATTACGAGAGAGAGATTACGAGAGAGATTACGAGAGAGAGAGATTACGAGAGAGATTAGAGAGATTACGAGAGAGATAGATTACGAGAGAGAGAGAGAGAGATTACGAGAGAGATTACGTCTGTACTTATAGAGACTTGTACATATATTTTCTACTAACCCGCATTCCTGGACTACTAATCTTCACTTCACGTCTGTATTCTTACGTTTAATACACTTATTTTTCTATCTCTACTGGCATTGTTTATTTATTTGTGCAGGATTCCATTCACGGAGTCCACAACAAGATGAAAAGATTTTTTAAGCGCATATTGGTAAGTATTGGTCGGTTTTATGTTTGAGCCTATATGTAAGCACATGTTTATATTTGCTTCTATATGAAAGTAATGTTTATGCGTATACTTGAATTGCAGAATCAAGCCGGTAGTTGAGACTTTTTTTTTTGCGAGCGATTATTCTTCTCCAAAATATAACGTATACTATATCCCAATGATTGACTGTTTCAGCACACACTTATGAACATTTTACTTATATCTTATTTGTGAATTTTTATTAACAAACACAATAGATACTTTCATCCTTTTTAATCTTTGGTAATTTCATCGATACAGTTGTAATTATTTTTTTAGAAATGTCTAACGTGCACTTCTTTTTTTTTATACATTTGTTCGCTAAATGTGTATCTGTTAGCAATATTCAAATAATAATGAAAAGCATGTGTATGTATGCTATGTAATTCCTAAAGAAGTAATGGATTTACATCAAAGAAGAGGTTTTGGAGAGAATGGAAGCAAAAATATACTTATAAGGAAGAGGCAGTTGAAGAGTATGGTTTACATAAATAAGGAAGGAGGGTTTAGAAAATCAGATCCTTACGGAAGAGTTTGATTGAAAAATGGACAGAGAAAAGCAGTGCATAACACAATTGATGGGCTTGAGTAAATGATTTCTAGGGTTTGGGAGAAATAAGAAAAGGACAAAACTTATTAAGAGATAAAAAAAAAAGACTGGAATATTTAAATAACCATAATCGCCTACGCCCAGAAGGAACACAGCAATAAAAGAATCAGACATATTTTTATTTATTTAAACGCTATTTTTGTTGGATAACCATACATGGATAGATGCTCCGTTTATATTTTAAGCAGTATTTTATTTCAGCTATTGGCTTGACCATTCGAGAAATATTAGAGAAAAAGCCGTCTGAGAGGATTCTATACTACTTCCTCCTTTGCTGGAGAAACCATCCTTAGATTGTTAAAATTGTTAACAATGCTTAAAATCTGGGAAGATTATGAATCGCTTGCATATACTGCGATCAGTTCTTTGTATGAATGATTCATATAATATAAATTGAACTGCACCACATATTTGATTTAAAAAGAACTAATCCGACGTGCAATTTCTGGGATAATAGCTGCGACATTGCTCTATTTATGGAACAATTTAGTTCATGCCACATCGACTGAAATAAACTACTACAACAAAAGAATTTTCCAATGACCATATTAGTAAAAGAAAAACGAGTTCTTTTAAATTTTCAAAAAATTCAACCATAGCGTTTCGACAGCACGCTCCAGAATTTCTTACAGTTAACAATAAAACATTTCTAAAAAAACATATTTCGACTCACATCTAATCTTTCGTTTCCCGTTATTACATGGATGTATTTAAAAAAAAAAAAAAAAAGCAAATCACTTTCCATGCCTGGTGATGTCTGTATGAACAGATGAAAATACTAGCAAAAAAAAGTCCTTATACAAGTTGAATTTATTAAAAACAGGGATAATAACATTAATCTAGAGGTTCGTGGGTTAATGTAATTTTAATAAATTTGTTTGCTTGAAATTTGTATTCTCGCCATTTAAATCATTAAGTTCACTAATCTGTTTTTGTATGAATGATAATCATACATAGAATCAATCAGCAATATTAATGCGATTAATGGCGATATCACTTCACTAGTAGAATATAATTTATGCATAAAAATACTGTTAATCTATTAAATGATGTGATCCTCCTTTATGAAACTTTTGGCAAATGTTTCTAGTGTATATTTTTTTTAAGTTAAGCAAGTACTTTCTAAGATCCATGTCTTCATCATCAGGCTGGAATTTTTTTCCTTTGTTCTACTACCGAAGTGATTTCGCCATTAATCGCATTAAAATTGCTGATTGATTCTATGTATGATTATTTTTCATATATAAAATATATGCTTCCTAATATTATATATATATATATATATATATATATATATATATATATATATATATATGAGTGTGTGCGTGGATTGTACATAACATTATTTCGTATAATAATTATTTTAATAAGCTTCTTATTCCTTACTTTCTTTTTTTTTTAATGATTACTGGTATCTGTATTCTGTGAAAGATTTCAGAACTCTCTGGAACAATCTTCAAGATAACATTTTTAAAATCTTTATTGTCTTATTACATTGTTTAAACATTTATATTCCCGGCTGACATGAAGCCGAAAGACTATATTGAATTCATTGCTAGGTCTGCTTTTAAGAGATTTGGTTCACTGTATTTTCCTTGATTTTTCTCTCAAGGTTCTATCGTACATATCTCTAAGTCTACCATTCGCCCATGATTAGAATATTGTTGCCACACATGGTCAGCTACTTCTGCAATATATTTAAATATCCTTGAAGAAATCCAAAGAAGAATCAGCAATATTATTGGTCCTGACATGGCTTCTCAGATTCAGTCACGTTCCAACTGCCGTAAAGTTGCCTCCCTGTGTTTTTCTGTAAACACTTTCATAGTAATTGTTCAGATAAGATTGTTGCTATGGTACCTAGACTATATGAATTTAAGCGCTGTACTAGACTGGCGAAGAGGACTCAACAATTTAATGTTGATTTGGCTAGATGCAACCGTAAGTTCTATGCTAACATTTTCTTTTCTCACACTTCTTCCTTGTGGAACACTCCTCTGGCTCCATGCTTTCCAGTCAACTTTAATCTGCAAAAATTAAAATGCAACATCATCGTTATCTACTCTCTTCATGATTACTTTTTTATTGTTCTCGCTCTTTAGTTATCTAATTTCTCCAAACTAAGTAAACCATTGTTCCTTAGTTTATTTAATGCCTTGCTTGGAGTGAATTCGGTTAAAAGACATTTTATTACTTATATACGTACTATAAGTTCAAAACTGTTTACAGTATATCATTGTATATTCAATGGTATCCATTTCATTCCTAGCATTTACATATGTAAACACGTATATTAACTTTGCGTCATTATGATTTCAATGATTAATATATTTACAGAGAATATAGTTATTATTAATGTTAATATTATTAATGTTACTTTTATTATTTTTACTTGGTATAGGAGCAGAAACAGTTGGTTTTTTTTTGTTTTTTTTTTTTTGTTTGTTTTTTTTTGTTTGTTTTTTTTTGTATTTTCACTCCATCGGTGAGTTTGTAGCAGAGATAATCCCTTTGCTATCTTATCATGGTAATGGATTTTTGCCAAAATATACCAAGCATTCATATCTCGGCGAGCGGATATGGAAAATAAAGAGGACGTAGAAATGCATATTTGCCGCAGAACAGTGCGATTTATTTGCTGCAATAGACTAATCCTTTCGTCTAGAGAAGCATAAACTTCACAGATGATGCATCTATTTCTGTTTAAAAGTGCACGAAGCCCCGCCTTCAATTGATAAGGGGAGAGAAAGAAGCGGCAATGGAGGAAGGGAAAACGGAGAGAATGAGGAGAAGTTTAAAAAAAAATCTGCATCTGAAAAAGATGAGATTGAGAAATGGATATGATAGGTTGAGCAAGGTAGGAAAAGGCACGGAGAATTACTTATAGTGTTTGTTAGCTAGGTGCGAGCGGGGATAGATGGTAGCATAGATAGATAGATAGATAGATAGATAGATTTGAAAGGATTGCCATTAGACATAGTTTGATGAATCTGGCGAATAATGCGGCAAATAGATAGATAAATTTCAACAAAAGATATATATATATATATATATATATGTATATATATATATATATATATATATAGAGAGAGAGAGAGAGAAAGAGTGAGAGTTTTTAAATGATTGCCAAAAAACAGTTTGATGCCTCTGAAAAACAAAGAAGATAGATAGATAGAACAGGCTAGGATATATAGATGAAAGGATTGACAGAACATTATTTGCTTCAACTGAGCATAATCGCTAAAAAAGTATATATATATATATATATATATATATATAAAGAGAGAGGGGTGGAGAAAGATAGATAGATATGAAGGAACAGTGATATATTTGAAATGATTGATATAGGAATTTTGAAGAAACTGGGAAAATCCTTCTAAACTAAAATAGATAGATGTGTAATAACGTACATAGTTTCATAGTTGCGAACAAACTAAAAATAAGAGAAAGATAGTGGATTTGTCTATATAGACAAGTTGTGGCCACCACACAATGCTTTTAAGGGAATTACTAATTAAATGCGCAAAATGACAAATTGAATGTTCGTTATATGAATTATATTTTACGAGATGTGAACCAATTATTGAAAGCCATTTCTCATCTGAAATCTTCTCACAACATGTATCTATATTTTTAAAAAAATTAATGGATATTTATAGACGTTTATATAAGTGTTTCAACTCCCAGTTATCTGTCTATATATTTTATCTCTTTATTTATATATATATATATATATATATATATATATATATATCAGCATATTTTAATTCAAGCATGTTTGGTTAAATAACTTAGACGTATTATGTAAGTTAATTTGAGTTTTATCCTTTCAAGTCTCCGAATTAATTTCTTGGTGGTTCTAGAAAATTTAACAAGAAATAAGTACTTTCAATCTCATCTGAGACCATATTTAGTGGTTGCATATCCATGGATGTGTTATGCGTTAAAACCGTCAGTTAAAAAAGTTTTTCACCGTTGTGCAAATTTTATGATTTTTTAAAAAATTAATTAATTCATGTATTTTAATTTATTGTTCTTTATATAACAATTTGCTGTTGCAAACTTTTAAGAACTTTCTTGATATAACCATAGTTGATATATATAGGGCTTGATACTTTAACTCAATTTTATTCCAATAATTATATTATTATATTTTAGGCTCTCGTTTTTCAAACATGAGAACTCTTATGTAGCGAAGGAATCATATTTTTTTTAAAATAATTATAATTTAAGCTCTACTTCTGTGTGGAGCACTGTTTTTTAAAAATAAAAACAAAAATACTAAAGAACTCAGGATTATTTACCTAACGTGTTCTTTCCTATATTTCCTAGGTTTTCTGATTGTCATATCACTCCTAAAAGGCAATAAAGCCACTAAGACGTAAACGGTTACTGACTATGAAAGAAAAGAAAACATTAAGAAGTGAGATCAATAGAAAAAAAAACAGAAAATACAAAGGCAGTAGATAACGATTAGCATCCCATTTATATATTTTAAGGTAAAACCTGATTTCAAAGCAAAACGCCCGAAGAGGGTGATACTAGCGAGACGTAAGACGGAAGTAACTGTTACCAAATGTAAAATGATTAGACTTTGCTGCCACACAAGTACTGCACTTTAATTCCTAAAATCAAGGTACAACAGGGAATGTACATTACGGCAGTTAAAAATTGACTGAAGCTGAAATGCTATATCAAGACAATTAAAATTGTAGATTATTCTTTGCATTTTATCAAAAAATCTCTAAATATATAGCAGAAACACCAGACAATATTTGGCAGATATAAAAAGAATGCACCAATGGTATAATATATAAGATATATTCTAGCGAGAAAATTGTCTAGAACGACACAATGAACCAGTTTTCCTGGTAGCAGACCTAACAATTGATTCAATATAATATTTCCACTTCATATCAGCAGAAACGTTTCGTCCGAGAAGATTTAATGAATCACTCTCCTGGTGGATAATCCAAGCTTGTTGTTGAGAGACGGTAAGGATCCTTCAGACGATTAATAAAGGGCAGTTTCGTTTTAGTCATAACTTGCCCCAGTTAACAGCAGATTATAGGTCATCTTTGAGACAAGCTGCCTATATGACCTCATCGAACTGATCAGACTTTCTAAAAAAAAAAATGGCATGTATTCTGTACTGTTGTTTTCAGTTCATAATCATAAATGATGTTTTTCTCTTGTGATATAAACAGACGCAGCAGCACGCGTCTCTCACGTGAATCTAAGAACTGTTCGAATCGAATTATCTTTGGACTAATCTTGTCTGTATCTGGTCTCCTGCTACTGCCTGCATCTTTTTCTAGCTGTTGTAAGTATCCATAATTCACTTCTCCATTCTGAACCTCTCTTCGACTTCCAAAGATTTGAACGCAGTTACAATCTGTCTCCTTAAATCCTGCTCATGTTTTGCCCTTTCATTTCAATCTGAGAAAAAATGTTTTTTCTCAAATTCTTTCAAACTATTATGATAAATTACCCATACACAGATGGACTTTTCCGAGATGGACTCTTGCTCGTTTGTATATTACTGTATTACCGATTTTCATTAATACATTTGTTAACTCAAATCCACTTTTGTGTCTTTATTCTGGCCCCAACAAGGCCACAAAACTTGGATCTCATCCTCGTCACCAAGTTGTGGCATTGTTTGGGCCAGAATACAGACACAAGAGTGGATTTGAGTTAACAATTATATTAACGAAAATCGATAATATAAGAATATACAAACAATCAAGAATGTTAAGTCCGAAATGTCAGCTCTGATTGTTGGGAAAAACTCTCTCTGACAAAAGCAGTACCTGATTTTATTTGTAACTTGGAAGAGTCCATCCGTATATGTGTAATTTTCCACAACCCAAAAACAGTAACTAAAATCCAAAAAATGTATGTAAGATTATCGGTCCAAAGATGGTATTTCGACTATTTTCACTTTCCCACCGCCGTGAACTGATTTCCCGCTGTCTGTTCTGCACATATATTCATATCAGTTGTTCCAATCAATTCTATTTGGTACCCTGAACTCATGAGTTTAAGCACAGTACTAGATTGACAACTAGTTCTCACCCTTTTACTGTTGAAATAGCTAGATTTAACTCTACCTTTCTTTAATCGCACTTTTTGCCTCGGGAAATGTCCTCAATCTTCTTGATTCTCATGCCAAGATTTTCAAAAATTTAAGCGCAACGTCAGTGGTCATCTTCTTCCTGAATTCAGTTCTTTTTCGTCATTTATCCTCAATAAATTATACATATTTTTTCTCGCTCCGTCACCTGTTGCGTCTTAGCTGCTTTATCACCTTGCTTAAAAGAGATTCATTGAAAAAACCATCTCCAGAGGCAATATGTATTGCATATCGGCCAAATCAGAGACGGTTATCATCCGCTATCACCAACACTAAAAGGTTGGCTATGTGAGAGTTATCAGGGGTTATCTGTAAATACAGTGACCTTGATTTCTTAGTGGAGATGAAATATCTTTGGGAAGTAAGGGACTATCATGTGAGTAGGTAAACATACAGGGATGCTCATCTTTAAATTGCTAATTTTTTCAGCCGATGAAAGTTGACGTTTATACTTGACCGATCTCATTGACTTTCTGTAGGTTTTTATTTTTATCCGATTATTTGTTTTAATTCTAATATATGCAGTGTTCTGAGAAAAGGCTATATGTTGTATGGTTCTTTTTATACAACTAACAAGCTACACAAATTAAGCTTCTTATTTAATTTTTCTTCTGTTCGTACAAGTGTTTTCTTGTCTGGACATAAAGTTCTGCATATTTAAGCGTTTTCGGCTATTCTTTTAGCTATTGACAAAGACTATTTTTATTTTATTTTTAACTGAATGTGTGGTTATTGTTTATGTATGCATCTAGATTTATAGGAATGCTTTATTTTCCAAACACTCTCAGCAAACTGCGGATGTGCTCAAGGTTAATGATATTGCGTGCTGGCTTTCATTTTTATTATTACGTTTCACCAATCTACATTTTGGACAGTTTGTGCACACTTTGTGTTCAGAAAAAAACACACACATTTAAAAACACAATAAAAATCAAATAAAAATCGAAATTTCAGTACCTGCCAGGTGTCTTTAACAAAACGTGTATATATATATATATATATATATATATATATATATATATATATATATAAAATTGAGATGAGGGTATTATTTACATTATTTGAATATTGTCCTCTCGTTGTGTACATGTTATTACAACGTTTCGGTTGTTAGACGCCCGGCCTTCTTCAGGTGGTTGGAAGGTTGAACTGAATGTAGAAATAAAGGGTTC